CCAGACCCCACAGGTTGAAGACAAAGTCCTTTACAAGACTGTTGCTACTTTAGACACCTCTCTAGAGGGGACACTTGTAGGTCTTAAGGCCACCCAAGCTTCTGAGAAACTGAAGAAAAATTTGGAGGTTCTGACAACTTCTTTGGTTCAAAAACTTACTAGAACAATTCACAGATTGCACAGAGAAAGCTAAATTTAAGATTATAGATTCCTTATAAAAGGTATACCCCAGGAACAACCAAATGGGGAAACTGTGTAGGACAAGGTCAGGGAGGGATGGGGGTGCAAAACTTCTCTGTCTTCTCACTGTGGAATCTGGCCACATCACTCTTTCAGCAGGCCAATGTGTTTGTCAGTCAGGAAGCTCCACAGAGCCTTGAGTTCAGAGTTTTTACTGAGGTCTCATTACATAGGCAGGGTTGATTAAGTCCTAATCTCTAGTCCCTCTTCCCTTCCTGAAGGTAGGGCTGGCCCAAAGTTTTAATTGTCTGATTGCATTATTGCTGTTTCTATGACTGGCCACCATCCTGAAGGTACCTATGAATCCCACCATGAATTGAGAGGTACAGGGAGTGAACATTGTCAGTACAAGTTCAGGGAAAAAGAGCTAAGTGGGGAAGGATTTCTGGTGGAAAAAAAAAAAAAAGGACTTTAATCTTGAAGCATGTGTAGAAACTGGATCTTAAAAGGAGAAAATAGGGATCTTCTTGGTGAGAGGAGCAAAATGAGAAAATGTGAGACAGAAATGTTTATGGTATTCGTGGATGGTTTATATTTCCTTGCTTGAATACTTGGTTATAGGAAATTCTTTTTCCCTTGAGTAGACCTGTTCTATTCTTCATCGCTCCTTCTGCTAGAAGGTTCTTCTTTTTCATCAACCAAGTCAACCTTCTGGTAATTTCTCTTTAGAGCCCTGTTCTGCCCTTCATGAAACAGTTACTAGAAGAGAGAGAGTTTATTTCAAGGCCTCTGAGTTTCTACTTCCCCCGGGTTAAGCCAACCTAACTTTTGTCCCCATCCTTGAGTCCATGTGGTTCTGAGGTCCCCATTCATTGATTTGTCTTTCTGGATTGGGTGGTGGTTAAAAGTGTGTTTTGTGACATCAGAGAGATTGGGGTTTGACACCTGCCATTGTCCAGGTGCATACATTAATTAACCACTTTCAACCTCAGTTTCCTCCTCTATGAAGTGGGGATATTAATATTTCCCTCATACAGTATGGTAAAAATTCTATGAAATAATGTAGGCAAAGCACTTAAGACAGCACCCCAAATATAGTAAATATTTAATGTATATGATGTATTATTAAGGGACTGTGTCTGTTAGCTTTAGCTATAAAAAATAATAAAATAACAAAAAAAAATGTTCCCGAACTTTAATATCTTAAAATTAAAATAACTCATGATTCTGTGTGCTGGCAACTTGAGCTAGGCTCAGCTGGAGAGTTCTGCTGATCTTCGGTGGGCTCTTTCATGTGTTTGCCACCTACTGGTGGTTGAAGTTCTCACTCATGGTCTGGTGGTTGATTGACTGCATCTGTGACTCCAGACAGGTGTTTTTGTCATCCATCCAGTCAGCCTAGGCTAGGGTTCCTGGTAGCATCCAGAGGGCAGGTCCTGCTGCGCAAGCGTTTTCCAAGTACCCATTTGTGTCATTTTTACTACCATCCTATTGGTGAAAGAAAGTCTAGAGTTGCTGCCCCACCAGCAAAGGTCATGGACACAAGAAGAGGGGAAGAATGGCGTGGCTCATCTGGCAGTCTGCCTTGGACTAAAATTCTCTTTCCAAAATACTATTTTAAATGTGCTAGTGTTCATGACTAAACTGAGTAATATAGTGAGATCCCATCTCTTCTAAAAATTAAAAAAAATATATATATTAGCTGGGCACACCTGTGATTCTAGCTACTTGGAAAGCTGAGGCAGAAGGATCACTTGAACCCAGGGGGTTAAGCCTGCAGTGAGCCACTGCACTTTAGCCTGGGCAACAAAGTGAGAGTCTCTTAAAAAAAATTGTCAGTGGAGAATGGATTGTTCTATTGGAGATTGAATTTGGTTTTGTCCCCTGGTACATTAATGACTTTCACGTGTGTGTGTGTGTGTGTGTGTGTGTCTGTGTGTCTGTGTAACAGAGAGAGAGAGAGAGAGAGAGAGAAGTGAAGAGATGAAGAAGATGGAATAATGAAGAGAAACTAGGAGGGCCAGCCTGGAGACACATTCCTGAGGCAAGAGGCCTTGACAGCCTCATGCCATCTGGGCAAGAGAACTGTAGGAGGGTCTGCAGCTCTGGCCAGTCCACCTTACCAGAACTCTAGGCCCTGGTGGTATAATAGAGAGAAGGGCCACTAGATTAGTTCTAGAGAGTTATATTTCTTTCATTTGTTCCCTCATAGTGCAAAGACATGTTGAGTGTTTTCTCCAGGATCGGTACTGGCCTCGACACAGTGTCTAGTGCTGCCACTACGATTTTCCGAGTGATCATAGAAAAACCATTTTTCTTTTACATCTATTTAACGAGGGCCTTAGTTTTGTTGATTTCAAAGGCATCTTCCAACTGTGATATTGTACAATTATACAATACTATGCTATTTATTTTTTTCCCTTTTAAAGCTTACTCATTCTCTGTCCTGTCTCTTCAGCTCTCAACTTATTGCTTTGATGGTACCCATCAATGGGCAGAATGAAATACTGACCACAAAAAAGATTGCATCAATAGAGTCACTTTCTGTGGGCAGAGGACTTTTCATGGTCCCAGCATTGTATTACATAGAGAGCCTTGAAATATTCGTTGCCCAAGTGAGAGACAATGGTCAATGCATGGAGATTTCTGTGTCATGGCTTGGACTCCTGGGAGATTTCCCTGATAAAAATAGGCAATTGTCTCACCCTAAAGTAGGAATCAGGCTTTTTTTTTCTATTTATACCTCTTCTAAAATTATACTTCTTCTAAAACCAATATTGTCATATTGGTTAAATTTGGAGTAGGAAGAACAGCATTAGCTACGGGATGTTATGCATTTACTTACCCTCTGTGAGTCTCAGTTTTCTCTTCAGTTCAACAACACTCATCTAACAGTGCTGTTGTAAGAAGTAAATGACATAAAGTTCAATACATGCTAAGGTCAGGGCCTCTGTCCTTGCATGACTTCAAGTAATATTTGTTTTCCTTTTGTGCCTTTATCCCTTTGCTGAGCCGATCAAATAGGATCTTGTGTGCTGGTTGAAGCACTTTGTAAAGTACAAAACAAATAATGAATTATTATTATCAGCACCAGCACATACTCCAGGATTTGAGAAATACCAGAAGATTTTCATTGCTCAGAGGTACCCACCTGTGTTAGAGACAGCACTGGGGATGCAGCCAGGTTTTTGCCTCCAGTTTCAAGCTTTGCCAACTGCTGCCTTCTGCTCACTGTTGACCCACTTCCCTGGGGACGCCAACCCATAAGTGGGTCTATACATATCAACTTAAGTTCTGGAGTCTTAGGTAGGTAATGCAACAAAAACATAGGCACCTATCAAGATTTGAGCTCTTTAGAGAATGGTACATTTCAATCAATATTTCAGCCCAGTGGCACTCAACTTATGGGAGGATGGCTGACCTTGGACTTTGCATAATCTTGTGCTGATCTTACTCACCTTTTATCTTTTACCTCCTGAAATTGATTTGCAAAGGACTCTCAAATAATCATCCACCCTTATTCAAGGTTTTGCTTTCTGCAGTTTCTGTTACCCACAGTAAAGGGTGGTCCAAAAATGTTACATGGAAAATTCCAGAAATAAACAACTCATAAGTTTTAAATTGTATGCTATTCTGAGGAACATGATGAAATCTTGCACTGTCCTGCTCAGTCCTGTCTGAGACATAAATTACCCTTTTGCCCAGCGTATCCACATTGTATATGCTTCCTGCCTCTTACTGTATAGGAAAAAAAAAAATAACGTGGTGCATATAGGGTTTGACACTATCCATTGTTTTGGGCATCCACTGGGGATCTTAGAATATACTCCTGCCAATAAGGGAGAGACTACTGTGAAAGGCGTTTAGTGAACACAAAATATTATTTCCTTTGGTGAGTTGATTTTCTCCCTTGGTTTATTTTTGAAATGCTGCAGGGAAACGCCATCATTTCTCTCTGCCTTCTCAAGAGAGCCATAAAATGCTATTGGCTATTAGCTAAAATGCTGCCTCTTGGTTTCGTTGATCCAAAGGGATTGAGATCCCCGGGGTGACCAGGGATTAATTAGACACAAATTATATTCAGAAATGTCCCCGGATACTTGCTCAGGATCTGTGTTGTTAGGGTGGTGCATTGTCAAGGCTCAGGCCAGGGTTATGAGCTCACTGGAAATTTAAAGACTAAGTCTCTTCAGCCTGTGGCATGCAGAAGTGACTCACTTCTGGAGGTGAAGTCCTTAGAACTCATAAAAACGTCCGCTTCTGAGGGTTTAATCTGGGATGCACAAGTTAGCTTTAAAGCGGGAGAATTTGAGAATAAGGGATTTAATCACCGAAATAGGTCATTAAATGCTTTTAAGAAGTTATTTTCTAAAGAGTGTCCGTTAGTGTCTATGGGTATAGTCAAAGGGCAATTTCTCCTTATGTCCTCCAAGTCTTCATACAAAAGCTCCTCCTTTCACTGTGCATTTATCTTTATTCCCTCTCTATTTGGAGCCCCTGGTTCTTCCTTTTTTTCCCTTCATTATCTTCAACTGGACTGACTGAGAACTTGCATATGTGGTGTTAAATTCATGCAACTTCAGAAAAGATATATTGAACCAAACCCACATTATGAATTTTGCAGGTGTATAGCAGATTATAGTTTAAAAATTACTAATAATGAAATTACTTAAATATAATACTAATAAAAGAATACAAAATTATTATTGATAAAGGCTATGTATTTTTAAAAAATATTTTCAAGTATATATGGTTAGTGTAATATAATGCAATAAATTATCTTATCTTTGCAACATTTGAATGGAATAAAGAGAAGTAATGTTAAAGTTGAAAGATAATAGGTTTTTGGAAAGTTTTTTTTTTTGTTTTGTTTTTTTTTTGAATTTTCACCTTGGAATCATAGAACCTGCATGTTCATCCGGCATTGTAGTAAGAAAAGCATGTAAGTGCATCCTTCATAATGATGCTAGCAATTGTTTCTTATGAAATGATCCAGTGGATCTTGCTGTCACTTTTCTTCTGGGAGTCTTCTATCAGCTAGTGATAGGTCACAGGGGAATGCCAATGGGTTCTGCCACACTAGAGTCTTAGGAAAGGCAGGTTAGACGAATCCCAAAACCTATGAACCACTTTTACATGAGTTATATTTTCATTCACTTCAAACCATTTCCCTATTATTTAAATGTTATTTATTGCTTTTTTTTAAGTTTAAAACTTACTTTTCTTGGGCAAATCAGATTTGTAGAATGAGAAAAGCAAGTATATTGTTCCTTAGACATGATTTTTTGATGGCCCTTGGCAAAAAATATGACAATGTAGGCCTCTCAAATGAAATGTCTCATTACTTAGTTTTGGTAACATAGTACAACTCACATTTACTTCTCATTGTGTAAATTTTCAAATTTAAACAGAAGTAGATAGAATAATACAATGAGCCCTCCTATAGGTATTACCCAGCTGCAACAATATCAACCATGTGCAATCTTATTACATCTAAACCACTGCTCCCTGTCTCCTATTATTTTAAAGCAAATCTCAGATATATAATCTCATAGTAAATATGCATGTGTTTAATCAATAATAGAAATGTACTTTTAAAATGTAATCATGTGGCACAATTGTTAATCACAACACCACCTATTGCTTACTAGTTGTGTCTTGCAATCTTAGAGCTGAGCAAGCTTCTCTAGATGAGTAGACCAGTACGCATTTTAAAACCTGATTTAAAGGGCACTCCAGATGGTTCAAGTTTTTTTTCAGAAAGAAGTAATAGGTAAATAATGGACATTAAAATGAGAAGATATTGGTCAAAATCAGGCAAAATATGGGCTAGTGGATCCTCAAGGTAATAAGCAAAGGAATGGCAAGTTGCAATTTTTCTTTAAAAGGGAAGCAATTTTATAAGATTTAAATTAAAGAAGGCAGAATTTTGGAGATTGGGGGTGACATTTAAAAAATCATGTAAATCAACAAAATTTAGGATATAGGTAATTCTTTAGGACAAATAACTAGGTTTAATCATCAAATAAATTGCAAGAGGGGAGACAAAGAGATGAGTGGTAATTGAAAGACACTTAAAAGACATTATCAACCAATGAGAGTATGAACCCTGTTTGGATTTTGACTCAAACAAACTAAAAGTCAGGGTGCAGGGAGGCGAGAGAATATCAGATATGTTTGAACACTACCTGGATATTTGATAATATAAAGGAAATGCTGGTTTGAGGTGATGGATATGCTAATTACACTGATTTGATAATTACAAATTGTATATACGTATTGAAATATCTTTCTGTATAATTATTACACGTCAATTTAAAATATAAATTTAAAAAATAATCAAAGGACAAGTAACGAGATAGTGTTGGTGTGTGAGACCTATATACAAAGGGAGTGACCTCGTATTAATAAATGCAGCCTCAGAGATAGAACCTGCACGTGTTTGAGTTAAGTTTTCAGTAAGTATTGTTTGATAGGCTAGGGACTTACCCATTTTTCTGACATTATTTCAATGGGAAGATGTCTCATGAGTTACAATAGATGATAATAGGTTGGATGTGCCTCTGGTTCACCCTAATGCAGCTGAGGGAAGCTGGAAAGAGTGCCCTTGTGCTCTCCTAGAGCTGGAAGGGCAGCTAGTCATGCAGGGAGGAGGACAGTTCTCCAGCCACTGCGTATGCTGAACATACAGGGAGAGGAAGACTAGAAGATGGTAGGACAAAAGAAGGGTAAGGAAAGGAAGAGATAAGAAAGAAAGGGGATGGGAGGAGAGGGAGAAGGAGGAGGGAAAGAAAAGGGAACTGACCACTAATAATTATTGAATGGTTAATTCCACACATCATGCCAAGTATTTCACTTGTATTATCTCAATTTCCCTGACCATGAACAATTAGTGTGAGTAGAATGATTCCATTCATGGCAATCGAATTGGAAGAGATTCTGCCTTCTTTCTTCAGCAGCAGTGGCAGCAAGAAGCATTATACATTTAGCGGGACTACCCAAGTTCTTACTGGATTATTTTGATTTCTTAATAAAAGATTTCATTTTTAAAAATATGAGGATAGTGAATTAACAATTGAATGGAATTACTAGCTAACTTTTTGGGGGATAAGGTACCCTAATTCTGGATAGTAAAATACCACCAGCTAACACTCTACTCCAAAGGCAGAAGTAGTCCCAACTTTCCCAGGCCAGTCAATTTTCAAGTAGTCAGTAAAGGAGTAAGTTTAACAACTGTCAAGATTTTGGCTGTAGTTTTCAGCTCTGAGCCCTATCCAGAGCAATTCTTCGAATCTTTCCTTCCCTTGACTGAGCCCGAAAAGGACAGAAGTGGTGGCCTTTCCTCTATCCATCCTGATACACAGTGGTTCAAACCAGTTTCCTCTTTCATTCTCTTAATGAAGAGCATTGAATGTGGTTCAATGCAGTTTTCTCTTCATTGTTGGGTTTTTCCTCTACTATGAAGCCATCAACGCCATCCCTCCTATGATCTCTGACATTCAGTCACTTTTTTTAATATCATCTCTGAGGATTCCTCAAATTCCTAGTAGAGGCAGGGCAGGATTCAAACCTGTCCCCAGGAAAATGACATTTTCCTTTTCTCTTTGGATATTCATTTGCCTCATCCTTTTAGCTTTCCACACATCCCTGTCTCTGTCCCACTCCATCTAGAATTTTGTCATATTGGTTAAGATGATTATGCTCACATAGATAGATAACTCACTTTCCAATGGTTGGATAATAGTTGTTTATTACTCCACATAGCAATAGGTCTAGAGGTGGATCCCCCAAGCTAGACTGTGGAGCACAGTAGAGTCTCTTTCCATTTTCTGCTCTGCTGTCTCACTTAGTCCTAGTGTTTGTTCATTGCAGGAATCAGGAAGGTTGTCTGTAGGCCAAAAGGGAGGATATCTTTCTTCTAGACATCACTTTCTTTTTTTCTGAAGTGAAATATTACTCAGAAGTTTCCAAGTAGATGTCTGTCCAGCTGGTCAGCCATGGCCTGACTTCATGGAAGCTGGCAAAACCAGACCATGATGTTTTTAGCCTTTATCATGGCAGCAGATTGCCATTATGGATGAAGATGGTGGGGAATGGCAATTGAGTGGATTGCCAGTAGCATCTACCACACTGGTATCTCTCTTGTTGAATTTTCATTCTCATTCATTCTAGAAGGAAGAGATTCTTCCCTCTTTCTTCAGCAGCAGTGGCAGCAAGAAGCATTATACATTAAGCGGGACTACCCACATTCTCACTAGATTATTTTAATGTCTTAATAAAAGTCAGTGTCATACTCAAATGTGTCCATCTCTGGTGACAGTCAACTAACACTTTAAGATCAAGCCTGGATGTCTTGAAATTCTTACCTCAGAGTGATTTATCTTTTCTTCCACGGGATCTGTGGAGAGGTGAATGGTCATCTTGCTTCTGGTCTTTGTACAAGGGTCATAGTCTGGGGACCAAGTCATTATTCCCAAAATGTTCCTTTATTTTGTCCCAGTGAGCCCACTGGATAAACAGATAAAACTCAGAGAAGCCAGAACTCCCAGTGGGAATGCAAATGAATGTCCCTTCAGAGATGTTCATCAGACAATCAAGTCTGATGTAGAATTAAATGGTCTTCTGACAGATGAGCCTTCAAATATGAATTGATACAGAATACCAGCAACATTTCAGCCATTGCTATTCACATGTTGTTAGACAGGCATGGTTTGTGTGATAATAGTCACCGTCATGGGTATAAAATTCCCTATACAACAAAGGTAAAAACATTTCACTTGCCTTTTTACTTTTTCTTTTCAAAATTGCATCTAATCCACTTGATGCTCCCTCTCACCAGGGAATTTGACTGTCAATTTCCATAAAGATTTTCTTACCATGCCAACCCATCTTGATTATGCAGGGGGCCCAATATTGTTTCAGAACTCTCAGGAATGGTGCTCTGATCTTCAGGCCACCTGATTTCCACTTACCTCTCATTGTCTATGTACACAAGGTCCCTTGAATGCAGGCAGAATTGCTGCTTGATGCTATGTTTGGTTATTGAAGTCTCTTCTGGTGGCCATGACCCAGCCTCCTAAGGAGCCCTCCATACCCCTTCCCCTGTGTGGTCTGCATGTCCAGCAACCTCCTTCAAGTACTTTCTTCTGTTTTTTTTCCCCCCTCTGTGAGATGATATTCTCCTCAGAGGGCCTTAGGAAACACTAGTCTGGACTCTGTTCTTTGTATGATGAGTGTAGGGGAAGGATATAAGAGTGGTGAGTTGTTTTCTCACTAACTCATCCTGTTATAGATAGGATACATTCCATACTGAAATGGAATAAAATTAGATTCTGGATTGTCCTGGTGATGAAGTAGCTACTTATATCAAATCATCACATGCTGTTGAGCATTTTGCTGGTGCACTTAGCCAGTGCTTCCCTTTCACTTGCCTGCCTCCGTGCTCTTGCACAATGTGGATTGTGCTCTTGGGAGACCCTTTCCTTCCATTCTTCATGTCAAATCCCACCCACCTAACTAGATGCAGTGTATAGTCCACCTTCTTCATCAAGCCCAATGAAACTTCTCACACATTCCCTGAATTGAGGAAACCCTTTCCTTTAGCTATATCATTGGAAGACTTTGCTACACCTGTGTTATAGTATTCATCCTATTCCACCTTTGGTTGTCATTATATATGTGGATGTTGTACCCTTTGTATTGGTATGTAAACCCTTTGGGAGGAGGGCTATGTTTTCCTCTTTGTACTTCATCTTCAGTGCCTAGAAACTAACTGAATTGAACTGATACAAAATAGTTGTCCTCTGACCATAAATAATATATAATGGGACACAAAATATATAGACATGGTACATAAGTAAATTAATGATATGAACAATGAAAAGAGATGTCCTGAACAGTCCAGAGTTGATTGCTAAGGACAATGACTCTTCTAACACCTTCTGATGGTAAGAGGGAGGACCACGGTGAGCTGAGGGCATCAAGAAAAGCCTCATAGGTGTCTTTACAACTTGAAATAGATATTTTGTCATCATGAAAATTTTACTGAGTAGAAAGAAAAGGAGAGGACAGGGAAGGCATGGAAATAGAGATAATGATAGAAATGACTTAAGCATCTTTTGGTTATTTTGGGTACATCAGAAAGACAACCACCTTCCCCCCTCCCATGATACCTTACGTTTTCATCAAACTTTAAAACTTATAAACTGCTGTCATATATACTGCTTTATATGATTCATCTAGTGTGGTCCATAGACTGAATTTCATTCCATTGCAAATAACATTGTAAAGGAGATTCACTGTGTATAGTCAAAATGGACTCCATTGGTAATAGATATGCTTGGTACCAAAAGTAATGATGATGAGGATGACAATGACGGTGATGATACTGACGATAGTAATGACACTTACTGAACACTCACTGTGTGTCCAGCATGTGTAAAACATTTTGCATATATTAATACTAAACCTCCCAATATCTTCAAAGTAGAATTTTTAAGCTATCTCTAGATTAATAGGGGTTGAGTCATTTGTCCTGCATCACGCAGCTGGTGTTCGGTAGAACTGGGACTCATATTGAGGTCTATTTTATTCCAAAGTCCAGTCATTTTTCATTCTTGAGAGCCCTAAAGGCTGACAAACATGACAAAGGGAAGAGCACAAATGTCATCTCATGATATGTGCTTAACTCACACCTTCAATAGGGTATAAATGTAATCTGCATTAACCAGCTCAAAGTCCAGCACCAGGTAAAGGCACTGCATTTACTTAGTGCTTCATCTTATTTGCGGCTACAGATATGTGGGCTTAGGCAATTACTTCCTTAGTTAATGACTTAATTTCCTTTTTAAGATTTGATCTTGATACTCAGATCATCTCCCCGCTACCAAACCTATTTTTGTTGACACCTCAAAACTCATTTTTGGACCTTTGTCCTTAGTTGCTGCCCAGGGTCCTCTGGTGATAGCATTTCAAGTGAGGGACATTTACCTGAAAGTGAGGCAAACAGTTGAAACCCCATGGCCTCCTTAACACAGGGATTGAAAACCTCCAAGCGATCACCAGAAATTTATGTTTGCTGTTGGAAAATTGCTTTGGGAAATGATGTGGATCAGAGAAGTAAATTTTCTGTCAAGATTAACTTTAGTAGTGAGCAAAACAGAATTTGGGGGGAGAAAAAAAAAGATCCCTAGGTGTTTCATCACATTTGTATTAACATTCTTTAATATTTACCACACTCATACTTTTTGAGCCAAACTGTCAGTGAAAGCATTGAACTACAGAGAAGATTCAGGAATTCCTCTGGAGAGGATACCTTCAGTCTCATTTTACAAATAGAAGCTGTTGATAATGGATGTGCTTCAAACAGCTGGCAGTTATTGAAAGAATTAAGGTGAAAAATAAAATTCCTAAAACCCCACCACACAAAAACCAGGAATCCACTGCCTCTGGACTGGCCCAGATTCTTCAGCCTGTTTCCAGAAACTGCTGTTATGCAGTCTGCACAGACGGTGGAGTGCTTGGACTAGGAAGGAAGGGGAGGAAGCTTGGCAGGGCACCAGCTTGGAGCTCGATTTTTCTTCTTTTTTTCCCCCCCCAACAAAGAGCTGGGCCTGGTAGAAAATAAAACAAAAACAGATCCTTTTCCTCTCTCACATCTGCTTTCATCCCAGTTCTTTGGGGTTGGTGGCCCCGGATAAACCAGTGGAGCTCAGCAGGCTGCTCGCTGCTGAATGTGTTGCTGGATTTTGCTGCAATTCAGGGCTGCTTGGCTGTGAGGTCCAAGAACAGCGTTTCTCAAGGGTTGACAGATATGGTACCACAGTAGTACCCTTTGTGTGAGGGCTTAGAAAAACAACGGGTGCACTTTTAAGATGGGAGTAATATGATGTGATACATGGTTAATCAAGCCGAGATGAACTTCTCTCCCACCTTCTTCCAGAAGTCTCCATGTTAGCTCTTAGAAGATCTAGCAGGTATATGCTGCGGATGAGAGGTCTGCTCAGAGAAGGAGGACTGGGGACTGAATCTGTTGACAGAACTGGGAAGAACCATTATATTAAAATAAATAAATAAATAAATAAATAAATAGATAAATAAATAAATAAATAAAAGACAGTTACCTGAGGCAAGTGTCAGAGCATCTGTAGTGATGTAGGGGATCTTTGTAACTTCCCTCTTAACATTCCAGCTGCCATTGACTAACAGAGAGGGTGCTATTCTTCATCCTGTTTACTAATTATTCTGCAATGTTATGTGCCCTACTAATCTCTACTCCAGTTCTCGCCTCTTTAGAGATAATTTTTATATTACTAATTTAGTGTTCTCATTCAATAAACTTCTTAAATCCTCTTCTTAGCTTCTGCTTCTGGGAACCAATTGCTCCTAATGCCATCCACATTTCCCCTGAGGCTATTTTTGTAAACATAACATGTCACTCTACTGTGATGTTGGGGCAGGGGTGGGACTAATTCTGATTGAGTATGTACTACTGGCCAGCAATTTGGCCGACTCAATGCACATGTGCTCTCTGATAATCTTCCTAAAAACCAACAAGGCAGCCACTGATATAGTCATTTTACAGATGTGGACACACAAGTTCACAGAGTCACACTAGTGACTGCCTAAGGCCCCCACTTGGGTCAGACTGTGTTATATGGTAGGGAAAAAAGTCAACTGACAGGAGGGCCTTCTTCCTAATAAGCAGCCAATGGTGTACTTGTCTCCCTGCTCCCTGCTACGGATGACAGAGTCATGAAGGACTTAATTCAGAGCAGTGACCAAGAGCAGGAATTAAATCCCTGTGGAGAAGAGTTTAAGGATGTGGCCCTCAAAAGTCACTCTGTGTAAGGGGCCAACCACACAGTTCGGGTTCTCACCACTCTCCTCCCACTGCCTTAAATCTTTGCGTAGGACCTCACAGCTTTTTAAGTTCTGTCACTCACATGATCTCATTTGATCTTTACCAGATCCTTGTGAAGCAGGCTGAGCAGGGATTGTTTTCTGAATTTTATAGACAAGGGAATTGAGGTCCAGAAAAGTGCTGATTTATCTAAGCCAGCAAATGGCAGAAGCTCTGTCTAATTAATTCCCTACCAGATAGTTTTTTAGTACATCATGAATCCTCCAAATAAAGACAACTCTGGGATGTGTTGAGTGCAGAAGGAGCTGATAAGACAAAGTCCCTCACATGAACCTCTCCAAATAGTCTCAGTCCTGGTTTTGAATACTGAAGTACCCAAACTTCCTTGACCTTCTCATTTCTTCCCCAGTGATTACCATGGGGGAGAAAAAGACAGCAAAAAGTAAAAGCATCACAGGAACCTCACCAGCCTCACCATGGTGAGGTTCCCGTGATGCTTTTTGGGGTTCCCTGATGTTTTTACTTTTTGCTGTTTTTTTCTCCCCCATTGTAATCATTATCTAGCTCAGTGTTTCCCAGTCATTTTTTTTTCATTCCTCACCCCCACCTAGAAAATACTATTTAGACATTTATTTTTCCTAATCACTCCCCCTCCCTGAAATCTTAATACCATAGATATGTTGTATATCTGTTTATGTACTATATGTATATCTATGCTTTATGCCAAAAATTAGTAAAATTTATTTCACCCACGTAAGAAACAGTGTTTGCTCCCTCAGTGCCATTTTGCTCTTGTTGTGAGTGACTGGTGTAGCTCATAACTATAAATTCAGTAAAAAGAAAAGAAGGAAGGAAGGATGGAGGGAAGGAAAGAAAAAATGAAGGAGGGTAGAAAACAAACAATAAAACAAGCCAGCAAAGACATAAAACACTAAACTGAAGGTGTCCTCAATTTCCCAACAGCTCTAACATCCCCTGGTAGTATAGATTCAAGTATTGAGGTTTCACTACGGCCAAAGTATTCCCAATATTTCTGGCCAAAGCTCGGACAGAGCATGCTTTAATCATTCTGTGAGTGAATCCCAAAGAACAAGGTGTGGCTTGAAACACATTCAACTTTTGGTATCTCAATTCCCTAGTTGCAAAAGAGAATGTTCCCTCTGACCAAACATAGTTTTTCCTTATGGGATGTGGTAGATCTCTGAAGACACTGGAGTCTTTCCCTTTGGGGAAGTTCATTGCTTTGCCTGTTGATAAGTGATAGCAAAGGAGAATGTATGGAAAGTTACTCTTACTTTTATTTTCTCCTCCTTAACTTCATACCCTACCTAATAAATTGGAGAACCAGAAGGAAAGCCAGAATTCACCACTACAGACACAAGAAAGTAAGTTCTGGACAGGTGGAACTGACTTGCTCAAGGGCCAGGAGCAAATTAGTGTCAAAGCTGGGACGTGGAGTTTGCCTCTTGATACAGGACCTCCTCTGCCAGAAGAAAGGGTCAACCTCAGATGCGTACTTCGTCATTTGTTAAATTTACTTGAGCAGCATCCAACTATGGCTATGAGTACACAAATAAAAAGCTTCTTTAAATAAACACCAGCAAATCTGTTTCAGCTGAAGATGTATGCTTAGTGTCCCAGGGGCCTGTATGATTTAATACTGTCAATATTAAATAAGAGTTTGGGAGTTGGATAACAATTACAAGCTGGGTAGCAGCTTTTCACCTCCAGGAATTGACTACAGATAGCAAACAGCTCAGATGGGGAAATGAGTTTTGCCACATCACCAGAAGGCCCACGTAGCTGGCCGCTAGCCTTCAGCTCCTAGGAAAACTGGAAGATATGTGTGCGCGAATGTGTGTGCACATGGCCACGTGTATTCCGGGATTAGGTTCACCAGGGCTGCCAGACCACAATGGTAAAGCCAAGCCACTAAAGAACCAGAACAAAGTCAGTGAGTGGTGTATGGGCTGAGGTCCGGCCAGTTAGAAAGCTGGGAAGGAAACCATGTGTAGTCTTTGCAACTCCAGACTTCACTACCTCCATATCCCTCTTTTAGACCCAGAGCCTTCAGGAATTCAGGTTTTTGAGTCTCATCCTATCACAGAAGAAAATGGTGATAGCCTAGCTTTGCAGGATGACAATCCTGGTTACACCCGGATTCAACCCTTTCCTGGCTACGTGACCTTGTTCTATTTATATTTTATTTAGAAAACACTTATCTAGTACTTGCCATATGCCAGACACCATTCTAAGCACTTTATAAGGAATAACTCCTTTCAGTCTCAATAACAATGAGCTTGATTCTTATAACAACCCTATGTTCATTTTATAGATGAAGGAACTGATGATCAGAAAGGTTAAGTGCCTTGCCAAAGTCACTCAGCCAGAATTTGAACCCAAGGAATGTGTCTCCCTTGACACATCATCCTACCATGGTAAGTGACCTTGGGCAAGTTGTTGACCCCCTGCCAGACCTCAGTTTACCTGTTTGTAAAGGGAGCATGCTAATACTACTCTGAGCAAGGAGGGATGAAGGCTTTTTGCAGGGCTTAAATGAGAAAATCTTGAGGATTTAGCAGGTTGCCAGGCACCTAGTAAGTAAAATATATGATTAACACTCCTATAGGTGGGGGTCACATTTCATAAATGGATCAGGAAGAAGTAGAGGCCTCTTCTGCATACTCTCATGGTGAGTCTGATAGGCCTATGCCAACACAGTCCTCTTGAGAATGCCTCACCTTCACAGCTGCAATCATTTACAAGTTAAATGGTTCTATTGTTCACTCCACAAATGTTGACTTAAGCTCTGAACAAGAAATGTTGTGCTACTTTGATTGAATGAGTTAAGCAATATAATCAGAAGTTAAAGGCATCTGAGTGATATGTTATCTTTAGTGGCATTTCAGTTATAATGTAGCTTCTCCTTTTCTTTCCTACAGCATGTTTGCTCTTTTTTTATGTACCTTTATGATTTTTGAAATAATATGCAAAAAGGATCAATATGAAACACTCAGATTAAAAAATGACCTGGACAGCAAAGCAGTGCTGCTGCATTCTGAGAAGTCCCCTTATTTTTAGAATAAAAATTTTTAAAAAATAAAGAAACGCAGTCTCAGTTGCAGGGAAATATAGATTTCACCATAAATGAAATCACTATGGAGCAGAGACAGTGAGGCAAAATAACAGAGTGAGTGGTTGTTCTGCAGCTGAGGGACAAATGACAGAATTGCTTTGGCCAGCTGAAGACAGATTGTTGCATTGTTCCATTAATTGTGTGTAACTTGGCTTTTCCAGACCTTTCTGTGGCAGACTAATCCAGCTAGCTCTGTGCACTGCTGAGCCATCTCACTTTTACCGAAGGCTGCCTACAATATTTCTGAGATAGAGATCCCTGCTACACATAGTTTGCAATATTGAGAGTTCTTCACTGAGGATAAATATGCTGATGGTGAACACCTAAAAATATGTGATTTTTAAAGAAGACTTTGGTTTAAGGAGGTAAAATATGACAGAAGATCCAATCTTTATCCTGGTCTTACTTTAAACCCCATAAACTGTTGACAAATCTGCTCTTATAAGTGGGCATTCACTTGTGTTGTTTCATTTAAGGGGAACAAGGTCGGATGTCCTGGCCAAATGTATGCCACCCTCTGTTTAAGTGAAATTGAAATGAAATTCCAGCATTAGAGTGATTTCCTTTGGTTATTTCCCCCAAAAATCCTTGTTTAAGTTGCAAAAATCTCCGGAGTAGAATTATCACCATTCCACCGATCAGTGTCCTACTAGGATTTAGTGTTTACATTCTTGGAAGAGCTGGTGGCAAATCTATGGATGCAGTAGACTCAGTGAGAAGGGAATATTTTAGTGTTGGGGTATTTGGAAAGAATTGATGCCTATTTGGCTGTCTCCTGGGTGTCATGGAGTCTCCTATGGCAAAGAAAAGAGTGTCAGGCTTGGGAATGGGGTGGAGACACAGAAGGGCAGTGGTGACACTATAATGTCAAACTTTGTAACTGCAAGACTTCAGTTGCAGGAGGTGTAGGAGCCTGTGTGCAATGGGTTTTCCAAGAATCCTCCTAAAGGAGTTATTGATTTGTATATTTTGAGCAGGACTAGCTTTACCTTATAATGACACAACCAATTAGAGAAGGAAAGGAAGGTGGTAGAGGAGGAAA